TTCAATGAACTTTCCATTACCCAATCATATGCTCGTACGCGCTCTACGATCCGTCACAAATTGTTAGTGCTGCTGTATTTGAGTTGGAAGCCTGGATTGTCAATTTATAAGCACCTTGGCTGGTCCCACGTGTCTGGCTCGTGCGGAACGATGACTTCCAAATAGTATCGAGGGGTCATATTGAACCTAGCTGTGATGTATGGTACACACTTGGAAGATCCTACTGAGATGCACCTGTCAAGTGATTGTCTCTGTTTCCAACCTGACTAGAATTGCAGCTCATCTAGACGGATCACAGTCCTAAACTCACTAAAACAAGGTTAAGAGGCTCATGGCACCGAATAATTAAGGTCAAATGCCTACGCATTGAAGTTAATAAATTTCTTACTACGTTAGCTACAACTACTGTGTTTTTGAACTGCTTTGATCTCGGACTATTGTGTCTTGCATCATAGTGTTGGGCTCCGAGGGTAAAACGTATGTAGGTGGACGTTATACATTCTGATGTACACAATCTAGCGGTGTTCCATTTTGTTCACCACTTTTGAGTATAAGTTCGAGCTAGAGAGGTTGATCAGTGAGTAATGCTAACAAAGAAGATTTCTAAGGCTTACTAGTTCCAGATCTGCAAGAGCGGCCTCTGGCTGCAGCTCTTTCTTCACGGCCCCCCCGACCAATGCTTCTCCCCAAGCACGAACTTCGGTAGGAACTCCTGTTCTCTCATTCGGGATGGCCTTTTGGGTTACATTCCCGTCACGACTAATGGTGATGTTAGAGCCCTCAACTTTGATCCAGCCATTTTGGCAAGCCACTGTCCATTCATCTTCACGTAGGGTTGTCCCGACAGAGATCTGAAAACTTCCAATTATACTAGATGTTGTCTTCAAGATCACATTGGCCGTGTCTACTGGTGGCAGATGTTCCTGTAGTTGGGTTGTAAATGCAGAGATTCGCGTTATGTTATTTCCAGGTTGCGTGGCGAGGAGTTGCCGAATACCTGCCATATAATGAACGCCTCCGTCGAGGAGAAAGCCGCCTTGATGCGTAGGGTCCTTACGCCATTCCGTCTCTAGGGAGCAATCAGTCAAATTGCGACCTCTCAATGGAGAAGGATCCATTTGACGTACTGTACCATTTTGCTGACTGTGGCATGAGCGAATGCTGTCGCCCCTGGAAACCTGTTATTTTACCTAAGGTCTTAATTTCCTGCTGGGCATACTCGTAGCTCGCCAAGAAGCGCCAATTTTCTGCGACGCACCAAGTCGGGCCTTGGATCTCTGAACGATACCACTCGATCATCTGCTCAGCTTCTTTGACGTTTTCGGAAACGGGTTTCTCGGAGAGCACATGTTTTCCTGCCAGCAAAGCCTTGCGGATGTATTCCGCTTGATTCTTGATAGGCAACCTGTACCCACTACTTTAATATGGACCTCATAGTATATAGTACATGCTCCCAAACTTACGAAATTATAACCGCTGTAATGTCTGGGCGTTTGAGTATTTCATCATAACCTTGGTCACTATCATCTGAATACAAATCAACCGAATTCGGTGCACCGTCGGCGATAGACTTGGCTGAATTTAGAGACCGAGAAAAGACAGCCTTGAGCGATAGCTCCTTTGCGGCGTAAATCGCCGGCTAGGTGGAATCTTGTCAGTTTTCTTTCTAATTTGGGGACTTATTCGAGCTTCATACAGCGTGCTCTTCTCTCGCCCAAATTCCTGCAAGAGTGTCAGGATAATTCTACACGACGAGACTGGGTCAGAGCATACCTCCTCCTATTAGTCCGACCCCAACGGACATTTTGGCAGGTAGACAACGTCGAGCGCAACGCGAAGAGGCTATCGGAAGGTAAGACAGCTGTCAAATGAGTGATTCGAAATTGGAAATTTCACAGAACATCGAATGTTGATGATGTTGGCAAGATGTTCAACCCCGCAGTGACAAATCGTTGGAAGACCTAAAATCGCGGGCCACACTAGTTAAGCGACGAGTTTTGCTCATTGCATCGGACTTATCTGAAATTGGAAGTTGCCGCTTGAGGAGAACGCGAGTTAGTTAGACTGGCTGTTGTGACTGATGACTTAAAATCAACGCGCCTCTGCTGTTTTACGAGACTTGAAATGTAAGATGCCTCGAATTTGTTGTTAAAAGGTGGCTGTAAACTTCCTGCAATGGCTAGCAAAGTACTTCATGTAGGCGTGATCGGAGGTGGAGATGTTGCTCAGATCGTCCACATCCCTACCTTGGTTTTCCTGTCGCGCCTATTCAAGATCACAACAATATGCGATGTGTCGAAGAAGACGGCTGAGCATTGTGCTGAAAGATTTGGAATTAGGAAAGCAACAACCAACGCAGCAGACATATTGAACGACCCTAGTATAGACGCTGTCCTTGTCCTTACATCCGACGAATTTCATGCATCCTATACTATAGCCGCCCTCGAGGCAGGCAAACATGTTCTCGTAGAAAAACCACTCACCCTGAGCCTCAAGACAGCGCAACAAATCCTTGACGCTGAGCGCGTAGCTCCAAATGGAGCCAGAGTTTTCGTCGGGTATATGCGCCGTTATGCCCCAAGTCTACAAGCTTTCAAGAGGGAAGCGTCAACAATCGAAACGATCAAATATGCTCGCGTTCGCGACATCATTGGCCCCAACGCCTACTTTATTGGACAATCAGGAACCGAGCCTCAGAAATTCTTCGACGACATTCCACTCGAGGCCGGACAGGACAGGAAGAATCGTCTCGCCTTGTTGCTAGAAGAAGCATGGGACACGCCGTTTGCGGACCTCAGCGCTGCGCAGATGGACTATTGCTGTTTGCTGGCGAACTTGGGTAGTCATGGTTTGAGCCTCATGAGGGAGGTCCTAGGCGGGCTTCCAGAGGAAGTGCTTGCGTCTACAGATAACGCCCGCTGGTATACTAAAATGTTCGATTACAGAAACAAAAGTGCCCCGAATGAGCGCTTCACTGCGCTTTACGAGACGGGAATCGACAGTGTGCCACATTTCGACTCAGAGGTCGTAATCTTTGGAGAGAAGAAGACGGTCAGGATAGCGTACGATACACCGTTTGTGAAGGGACTGGGAATCACCGTCGAGATTGATGAGTTGAACGAGTACGGAGAGAAGTGCCATCGATCTCTCCAAACCTCTTACGAGGATGCGTACACCGCTGAACTGAGGGAGTTTTATGAAATCGCGGTTCATGGAAAACAAATCAAAACGACAGCGACTGATGCGGTGGAAGACTTGAAATTATTTAGAATGATGATGGACAAGTATCCTACATACAAGAAGAAGCAAAACGGAGAATCAGGGTCCTCGAGCACATTCTTGCCTTCAGGCCCTTAGAGAAATGAGATGCCCCAACATAATAACAAGAAGATGCACATGTGAACAAATACAAATGTGCTCTTACATAACAGTCCATCTTCAGAACGCTCGTAGGGAGAATTATAGCTTGGCCGGAGGATTTGTAGGTCCTTAGGCCGATGTCGGGCGCTACAAGTGACCAACCTGTCCACTAATCCTTAGTGCCTGGTCTGCCGTACTTCACCACGGCTTGGCCTATCAGGACTCTGTTTATCCAGTCTCGACGACCTTCGAACTTGCTTGCCGACTCTCACGCTCATAAAGTGCAGAGGCTGAACTCAGCGGGGCCGGCAACCTGAGACCTCCATTCAACTCCATCTACCTAGCACCTGCTACTGACTGTAATGTAAGAGCATGTTTAAATTTGTATCCGACAATGTCGGGGGCGTGGGAACCAAGCGTAAACATTCGCACAAATCATGCAACTCTTGCAAGAAACGCCACGTAAGCGCACACCTATGACTCGTGGATGATATATCCTTAACATATTTGAGCAGAAACGATGCTCGCATGTGGACATGTCGGCGCCAGCCCAATCTCAAAGCGTCTCCGTGGCATCTCCAGCATCGTCACTGGACACACAGAGGCATTTCGCTCGCCCCAATAACTCACAGAGCAGCGCCGCTATTGTACAGCTATCTGCACAGAACGAATCCTCATTAACGAGACCTGGAGCTTATCGAACGGATGGACGAGCTGTTTCGAAAGTATCAGATGATGCCTACCTGCGGTTTGTAGGAGATCTAAGCCCCGAGGCATCATTCTTGGCAGCAGCGCCTCAGGAAAATGGAGGCTCAAGCAAATCTAGGCTTGCCGATGTAGGAGTCTGGCTTGGCCAAAAATCCGAAGAACACCCTCAGCCAGGGGCGTCAGATCCTTCAAGGGCAGCTGATCAAGTATCCCCATCTCAACCTTTGGGTCTCAATTGTCTACAGCAACTGACGTCACACTTGCGGGAAGAATGCATGGCTGTCCTTCCACCACCTTACGAGTTGACGCTCATGACAGAGCTTTACTACAAAAAGATCGACCCCCTCTTCCCAATTCTTCATGGAGAGAATACCGAGGATTATAGTGCCATAGAAGCCGTTGCTCTCAAGCAGTGTGTTTGTCTCCAAGCAGCTCTTGATCCGTCGCTCAAGAGGCACTTGAGGTTACCACATACCGAGCGTATCCTCTCTCCTATTGACTTTCGTTCTTGTCTTGCCGGAGCCGTTAAGCAATCTTTGGATATGGGCTTCATTCGAGACAAAGTTGTTCTACTACAAGTATGTGCTTCAATGGCATTTTTTGTTGACAAGCCCTCTTGTAGTGAAGTCTCCACTTACTACAGCGCACAAGCTGTTCATCACTCCCAGACGCTTGGTCTACATCTCGGCTGGCCGGATGATAGTGCCAAAGCCGAAAAGTCGAGGCGCATATTCTGGTGCGTTTGGATTTTGGATCGCCTCAACGCTGCAACGAATGGCCGGCCAGTCCTCATACACAGCCGTGACATGGACAAAAGGATCATGGATTCTGTTACTGAGCAGATTCCATCATTCAGACTTCTCATTCGTATCTCAAAGTTCCTGGATGACGTGATATCACAATATCGTCCACACTCGGGACCGGGAAGCCAGCACGAGGTACAGGAGAACCCTACATTTGAAGATCTTGTGTGCGAAACAGATGCGACCGGTACAGTGGATACTCTGCTAGGTAAGGATATGAAGATGTGGCTCCCCGACAATGTCATTCAGCTCTGGAGCATTTCTATGTCTTCTTTTCCAATTGTTTCAGTCCCGTCTTGGTATCATTCGGAAGTTACAAGAAACTAACTCAGTGGGACATAGCATCTCTCGAGCTCTTCTATTTAGCAGTGGTCATTTTGAGGAGCAGGCCAAAACAAGACGAGCGCGGCGAAGAACGAGCTCCAAGTTCGAGTGTGCAAACATTTTGCGCAACAAGTATAGTCTCCATTGCTTCAGAGGAGTTTAAGTCATCCATCACTTTTTGGGCTACCGTCCCCTACGCCGTGTCACTAGCAACTTCAGTTGCGTACAAGAGCCTACGAAACAGCAGTATTCCGTACAAAAGAAAGCGTGCTTACGCGTTATTTCACAGTAGCTGTGATATCCTTGACGAGCTCAGCAAAGGCTTTCTGTCTGCTCGAGTCATGGCTCGGTTGGCTATGGATACTCTCCAAGAGGTTGAGAGGGTTGCAGTGGGCAGAAAAGAAGCCCGGTCCCAGCAACGATCCGGGCAGTTCGTTAATGAACGTAATGGCACATTTCAGCTTTCAGAGCCATTACCTGATGCTTTACCGGCATCAATTTCACGTTCAGAAGAAGGTTTAAACAGCCTCCAAACGTCTCAGTCCATGGAAATGCCAAGTCCTTATTCAACGACGCTCGAGGCTGCATTACTTGCATTGAATCCGAATAATTTCAACGATTACGTGGGTGATGCTGGGATATTCAGCGACTTCGACCCAAGCTTCGACCTCAACAGAATTGACGCAGTTTTCTCGGCAAACTTAGACCCAACTTTGCCATTGGTGCCGGAGGAATGGATGAACGATAACCAATTCATTTGAATATGTCAAGCATGCCTGTGCCCGAGGAGCGTTTATTGCATCCCTCGAGCATTCATCGCCTTTGCCCACCTTGTGGGGTAATGCGGCAAAAGGCAGGTTTGGGAGGGGCAGTTCTCCACGATGATGTCGATCGTTGTGTGGAGACCGCGGGGCGTTGGAGAAGGCGGATTGCAGTTTTAGGAAATATCCGACTTAGCCTCAAATTTCCGTAAACAGTAATCCCGCGTATTCGGGATACAGCGGCTTTCCAAGAGCCAACATTCGACTCCATGAGAAGTCGCTTCCATCGGATTTCGGGGCACTCTATGATTAGAACGCATAAAGCTCAGCTCGATCGTTTTAACAAGTCGGAGTTATCTCCAATATTGCCTACCAAAATACAAAATACTATCGCCTTCTTCAAACTTGCCAATGTTTCGCAAAGCAGCAACCAGATCTGGCTCAGTCTGTCTTCGTCTTTCAAGTTGGCAGCGTCGGTCTATTACAACACAGCAGACAGTTTCAAGGCAAGAAGGCGACATCTCATCTGTTTTTAGATCTCTTTCCGGCGGGGAAGATAACCCTTACCACAGAAATTTGCCGACGTAAAACGTAGACTGATCAACGACAAGGCAGCCTTATACGAAAGCTGGGTAAGGCTTCTAGAACGGCTTAAACATGAGACGGAAGTAATCAAAGCTGAGGGGTCGGCTAGCGTGCCTGAGATACACTTTTCAGACATTGATAACCCCTCAGCTGGATTCAGTGATGCCATCCGTAAACGAGGTGTCGCCGTTGTGAGGCAAGTCATCCCCGAGCAGGAGGCCCGATCATATAAAGAAGAAATTGAGGCCTACATTGCTGCGAATTCTTCTACAAAAGGTCAGTCTGTAGCATCTCAGTCGAATTCCCGTTCTTTGGATCTAGCTCATCTCCCCCTCTGCAGCATTTCCGCCCGACGACCCGCAAGTCTTTGAAATTTACTGGTCAAAACCACAGCTTGCGGCACGAAGCCATAAGAACATGCTTAAAACGCAGAGTTTCCTAATGTCATACTACCACTCCCAAACCCCGCATGCCGAGTGCTCTACGAAGCAACCTCTTACATATGCCGATCGCCTCCGCATACGACAACCTGGTGACGCTGGCTTCGCGCTAGGCCCCCACGTAGATGGTGGTAGCGTTGAGCGTTGGGAAGAGAACGGATATGGCAAAGGACATGTCTACGACAAAGTTTTTGAAGGAAAATGGGAGCAATTTGACCCTTGGGAACTCTCTACACGACTTACTGGGGATGCTGATCTCTATAACGGAGCTGGAGCCTGTACTATGTTCCGCATGTTTCAAGGTTGGCTTAGTATGTCACACACTGGTCCCAAAGAAGGCACTCTTCTCGTCAACCCTTTACTTTCACTTTCCACCTCATACTTCCTTCTACGACCATTTTTCACACCGAAGTCCACGCCAATATCGGCACTTGGAGAGACATACTCGTCTGAGTATCTAAGTCCCTCGAACTGGAAGATAGAAGACGAGCCTGTCTCATCCACATTGCACGGCGCATGGCCCGGGCACGGACAGGAACTGAATCATTTTCTGCATCCACATCTCGACTTACCCAACACCATGGTTCATGTGCCTCGCATAGCACCTGGTGACTATGTTGCCTGGCATTGTGACACTATTCACGCTGTTGATAGTGTTCACACTGGGCAGGGCGACTCATCCGTTATGTACATTCCTGCTTGCCCCACAACACGGGTGAACATCAATTATGCAAAACAACAACGACAACATTTCCTCCAAGGCATTCCACCATCTGACTTCCCCGGTGGAATTGGCGAGAGTCAGCATGAAGGTCGACCTGGGCCTGAGACATTAAAGGCAGTGGCCAGCAAAGAAGGTTGTTGCGCTGCAGGCTTTGCTCCGTTCAACGTAGAAAAGGCAGAAGGCGCAGGGGAAGCAGAGATCCTAAAATATGGGAATAGAGTCCTAGGGTTTTGAGATTTTGTGGTGGGAGAAAAGGAGGAGAAACGACGCTAGTTCAGGGGTAGCCTAATGAACGCTCTGTGCATATGGGAAGGTACATAAGAGTTCGTGGCTATAGGTCATAACAGCAGCTTTGCATCTAGCTAGAATTCTGAAGCTACCTAGGTGATCTATCTTGAATCGTAAAGAGAATTGTCTGTCATTGTTCCACTTTGATGGGCGATACGTCGCATCCTCTCATATCATGTACCTTCGATGAGGGGATATCCGTTTCGTCCTATTTCTCGACATCCCCACCGCCACACACAACCGAGAAAACTATAGTGCGCTGCTAGGGTAATAAACGCTAATTCTTCAAGAGCCATAGTACTAAATGAATAGGGTTATGATTCTTGTGGATATCTCGAAGACTCTGTTTGTTACTATAGTTTTA